GGGAGGAGGAGGGAAGGAGAGGAGGAGGAGGGGCAGGAGCCCGCAGAGAAGTGGGGGGGCGGGAGGGGGGGAGGGAGGACAAGGGGGCGCGACGGCGGAGGGAGGGGGTCAAGAACATCAAAGGGGGGGTTACTTAAGAGGGGGAGGCGCGGCACGGGGAGGATGGGGGGGGAGGGCGGGGAGCACGGGAGGACGAGTGGCGGCCGGATGTTGCCAGGAAGCTGGCGGCAGCGGCTGCGGCACCTCGACTCGGAGACAAACGAAACAAGAAGGGATGTGGGAGTGCGGAGGGAGAAGGGGCCGGGAGGCAGGAGGAGCACTCCTTCCTCCTTCCTCCGCCGCCTCCTCCTCTGTCCTTCCCTTCTTGCCCGTGGCCCTGGCAGCGCCATCTTGCGGTCGCCGTTCTCCGGGTGAACGCTCAGGTCCTGTAGCTGAGTGCGTGCTTCCTCCCCCTTGTGTTCTTCTTCATGTACCACTTCCGCATCCACTCCTTTCTTGATTTCCTCATCCTGCTCAACTTCCCCCTTGCCCTTCTGAAACTTCGTCTTATCATTCATGCTGTCGTTGATCGCATCCGGCATTTCCACATTGCCTCTCCCACTATTGCTCTGTATACCCCACTCCCTCCACCTCTTCCCCCTCCTCCTCCTCCTCCTCCTCCTCCTTCTCCTCCTGATCATCCTCGCTATCTGTCCTTATCCTGCTCCTCCTCTTCCTCTTTCTCACAAAAGCTGATCCCTTGAAAACGTGATAGGCCACACCATTAAACTATAACCACGCGCGCGCTTCGCGCGCGCTTAGGTTCTAGTCGACTCCGACGACGGTGTCAATTTCCATGGGACCTTTTCCCTGTGGTCTTCCGGGCTCCTCCCTTTCACCCATGAATGATTTTCGGGCGGATACTGCGGAGTTCAAGGAAGGGTTTGGCCTGTAGCTTACCAGCGACGACCGACGACGACGACGACGACGACGGACAACCGACGATTAGCATCATTGACACCTGATCCACGTGTGCGGGAGAGGCGTTTCTGGAGCGTCTTGCGGGCGTCATGGGGGCGTCCTCGGGCCTCGACATTGGGTGGGCGGGTCGGGGGGTGCAGCCAGGGCCACGTCTTCCGAAGGGCTGTTCCAGAGCATGGAGGACGAAGGGCTTCGGCGGGCTTCTGAGGGTCTGTGTAGAGGCCTCCTGCGAGCTCGGTGGGGGTTTCTCGGGAGCTTCTCGGGTCTTTCTGGAGCCTTTTTGGTCGCTTTCTGGGGCGTCGTGAAGGCCTCCTGGGAGTCTATTGGGGCCTCCTGGGGGCCTCTTGGGGCAGAGGTCGCCTCTGTTCGTGCATTTGGGGGGCTCTCTGGAGCCTCCTGGGAATATCTTGGGCCAACTTGGGAGTCTCTGGAGGGGTCTGGGGCCCCTTCTGAACCCTCTTGGAGCCCTCAAGGCCCCCCCAGCCCCCCATGGTAACCAAAAGTCGCAATTCTGGGCCCATCCCGCAACCGTGTCTGGGTTGTGGGTTAGAGGCTTCTCGGATGTTCGCTGGGATGATATCGTGGGATGCCACTCGGGGGGCCTTTTGGAAGCAGGTTTGAAGCCTCCACGGGGGCGTTGTGGAGCTTGTCGGATCTCTCTTAAGCATCTTTGGGGCCTCTTTGGAGCCTCTTGGAGACACTTGGGGGCCTCTTGGGGCCTCCTGGGGGCAGGGAACTCGAAAGGTCGGTTCGCGTTCCCTCTCTTGGGCCCAAGACCTGCACGAAGGCTGGGCGGCGTACGAGAGAACGGTCTCTTGAGCTCCGCTGCCGATGTGTTCCAACGAGCATGTCCCCGCGCGCACGTGCAAGGGCAATGCTGTGCCACGATCTCTTTCGAGGCAATACCTAGAGTTGCACCGCATTCTCCAAACGCGCTCTTCTTCTTGGGTCTGCATACCACGTTGGAGATTGGGGAAGTAACGCCGCAGTTGAAGCCTGGGCGAGTGCTGCTCGAGAGATGGGCCTCCCAGCGGTTGCGCCGATTCCCTTCACCGATGTGCTGCTATTCCTTGTCCGTGAGCTCGTCTGGCGTACTCACGAGCTGGGCTTCGCCTCGCCTCGTGTGATCCCCCCCGTCGGCGCATGGAAGCTGCTGGCCAGTTGGGAAGCTTGTGAGCCTCCGCTCTGGTTGATAGAGCGATTGTCGGGGATGGACAGACCCCCTTTAGCAAAACGTGGTTTAGTGAAAACGACCCGAGGCCCAAACCTGGCGGGCGCAAGCCTGGAAAATGACGGCCACGGCGCCCTCTCGAGAACCGAAAACGGACAATTCCCTAATCGACGTGTCACTGCTGGGGGTTCTGCCCAGCCCCGAGATTGGCCAGCAGCAACGCGTCGCCGTCGACTGCTTTGCCGGGCGAGCTGCTGCATCCGCCTCGGATGGGCTCCTGGCCCTGCCTGGGCCTCGGCCTCGGGGTCGGCGGGCCTGGTCCTTCGCCGCCCCCCTGCGGCCTCCCTCCCTCCTCTTCTTCTCTCTCTCCGACTCCTTTGAATGGGCCCTGGGACACACAAATAAATGCACACAACTAGAAGAATTCCCCATCTTTTCCCATATGTTCTGGCTTCTTGTCTTCCCCCCCCACTTCCCATAGTTTCCTATATGTTCCTCGGGATCGACGATCAATTGTGTCTGTGTGTTTCTTTCCCTCCTGATCCTTTGCGTCTCCCCTCTTGCGTGTGTGTGTGTGTGTGTGTGGGTGGGTGGGTTGGGTGGGTGGTGGGTGGGTGGGTGGTGGGTGGGGGGGGGGGTAGGTGGGTGGGTGGTGGTGGGTGGGTGGGTGGGTGGTTGGGTGGTGGGTGGGTGGGTGGGTGGTGTGGGTGGTGTGTTGTTTGTGTGTTTGTGTGTGTGTGTTGCGTGTGTGTGTGTGTGTGTGTGTGTGTGTGCTGGGCTGGGCCTGCCATCTGGGGATGGTGTTGGTGGCGGGTGCTCTGGCTGGTGTCTCCTGGGGGTCCTCGTCGCCCGAAGTCGGCGCGCCTCCGTCTCGTCTCAGGCGCTCCTGTACTTTGGCCAGTTACCTCAGGCACTCCTGCACCTTTTTGGTGACTGCGCCCAGGGCGCGGCTTCAGCTTGTTCCACTTTCAAGCTTGCTGCTGCCTCTGCGTTGTTCTTCACCCAGTGGTCTTCTCGCTCTCTTTCTCTGCACTTCGGCTTTGGACCTCTGGCCGCACGACCGACCGACCGACCGAGAAGAAGGAGCAGCGGGGAGCGGCAACGGCGTTGAGTGCGCGTGCGCCCCATGTGGGGTTCCAGCGACCACTCCTCGAATCGAGCCTCCCACAACACGGACTGCCTCCCTCCTCCTCCCTCCTCCTCCCTCCTCCTTCCTCCTCCTCTCTCCTCCTCCCTTCTCCCGCCTCCTCCCTCCTCCTCCTCCTCCTCCTCCTCCTCCTCCTCCTCCTCCTCCTCCTTCTCCCTCCTCCTCCCTCCTCCTCCCCTCCTCCTCCACCTCCTCCTCCTCCTCCTCCTCCTCCTCCTTCTCCCTCCTCCCCTCCTCCTCCTCCTCCTCCTCCTCCCCTGCCTCCCCTCCTCCTCCTCCTCCGTCCTACTACTCCAGTCCTCCCTCCCTCCTCCTCCTCCTCCTCCTCCTCCTCCTCCTCCTCCTCCTCCTCCTCTGGGGCCGCTCCTGGCCTTCCCGGGCCGAGCGGTCCTGGGGCTGGATGCACTCCTCAGAGGACGAAGCAACGCATACACCTAAACTTTTGGAAGTCCGCGCGGGTTTCTCGGATCTGGGCTAGAGACCCCCTCCCAGGCGCGCCAGCGGCGGCGCCGGAGGGGCCGCCCAGGGGGGCGCCAGCGCGGATCCAAGAGATCGGCGCGGAGCGCCAGAAGGTTGTGCCTATATGACGTCTTTTCTTCCTCGCCTCCTCGCAGTCGAAGAAGATGAAGTCCCCGGAGTCTCCGCGGCGCACCGACCCGCGGCGCCCCTCCGTCGCGGCCTGCGCGGCGCGGGCGGCACCCACGCGCGCGGCCGACGCACCGCCGACGCCGCGTCGGCAGCGGCGGCGACGCTGCCGCCGCCGGCGACGATGCCGCCGACGACGCCGACGTCGACGCCGACTCCGAAGCCCCTCAGGACGCCGACGCACCCGACGCCTCCGACGGCGACGACGATGATGACGCCGAGGCTGCCGACGTCGCCCGCCTACGCCAACGCCGACGACGCCGAGGCCGAGGGCGCTGAGGACGCCGAGGGCGTCTGCGCCAACGGCGAGGGGCGCGGGAGCAGGGACGAGCTGATAATCCAGCGAGGCGGCGCCTGCTGAGCTCCCTCAGGATGGGGAAGGAATTCTGCAGCAATTCGCGGGAGCCTCATGTTCCATTTTGGTGGCTCTTGCGGATCGACACTCGACGACGCAAAATCAACGCCAGATCGGCGCCAGATCGATGCTAGTCGACGCCAGTCGACGCTGAATCGGCGCAGTCTCATCGATTACCAGACGCTGATCGACGCTAGTGCACTCCAAAGACGGAGCTGTGAGGGTATCCGCCACCGTGCCGCTGGGCACGGAGTGGGCGGGTCCACGGGTCCTTTGCTTAATCCTCTAAGCCTGAATCCTCACTCCTCAGGAGGTCGGTCAGGGGCCGGGGCTCCAAACTCACACACTTCTTTACCTGCACAAAGGGGCCCAGTGCCACGACGGAGGGCGCGCGAGGGGAGCGAGGGAGAGGGGGAGGGAGGGAGCAGGGGGGCGAAACACGACAGGAGGGCGCGCAAGGGGAGGGAGGGAGAGGGGGAGGGAGTCCGAGGAGCACGAGACCGAAACATGACAGGAGGTCCGCCGATGAAGGGATGGAGAGGGAGTGTAGGCGGGCAGGCGGGGGCGCTCGCCGCTCCCCGGCGCAGCCCCGCCCGCGCCCCGGAGCGCCGCGGCGGCCACCGCCGCGGCGCCGCGGTCGGCAGGCCCGCGCCCACGCCGCGCAGCGGCGGCGATCCCGGCCGCCATCTGCCACCAGCCTGGAACATATATCCCTATCCCTATCCCTATCCCTATAGGCTGGGCATCGCCCCATCACGATGCCCATCTCAGGGGTTCCCTCAGTTCTTGAGGGCGCAGCCCTAAGATTGCCATCGCCCTTCGGCGTGCCAATCTTAGGGAGTCCGAGGCTGGTGAATCTGGCCCGTGAGCTGGGAGCTCTGGGCCCGAAAGGCGGCGCACGCGCCGTCCAGCCGGCGCTGCAGCCGGCGCCGCCTCCTCCTCGGCGGGCCGCCCGCCCGCCCGGACAAGCGCGCTCACCAGGGACGTGCGTGGTGCACGCGCGCCGCCGCCGCCGCAGCCTATCCGCACCGTCCGGCGCGACCTCCACCGGGCCTGGCCCAGGACGGGGGGGGTCGGGTGTGAACGCATGAAAAGCGGCCCCTGCCCCCCCACATGAGGAGGAACCTTAGACCGAGTGTACGGCAGTGGCCTCGCTTAAAAGGCGCCTGCACTCACGCACCTTCGCCACGGCTGCAAAACGCTGACATGTAGAATCGATCGTTGTGGGGGCTGGGGTCGGCTTCCCCCTGCCCAGGGGGGGCGCCTCCACGCCAGCGCGCGCCTCTGCAGGGGGGGCCACCCCGCAGCGCCGCGGCAGACCCGAACGCCTGGACCTCCACCTCCGCCGGGCGCGGCTCGCGGCCTGCCTGCCGCGTCCGCCGCCTCGACCGCCCCCGAGGTTCGCAAACGTTTGAAATCAGGAGCAGGCGTCTGAAACCACTCACACGACCTTGAAAACAATATGAAAAGAAGGTCGAGCGCGTCTGATTCAAGAGAAACCAACCCTTAAAGCTTGCATTTCAGCCTAGAAAAAGAGTTCGTATCCTTATTATTTGGATTTCGTAGAGCGTGTCGTCTGTTTGCCTTTTTGAGCTTAATTGTTGTGGGCGATGATATATGAAAACCTCCATTCCTCGTTCCTCCTCGTTCCTCCTCCCCTCATCCTCCTCTTCTTCTCATGATATTATATTCTTCTTACGCTCGCCTCCTCATGATGTTCCCCCTCTTCCTCTTATCCTTATTTCTTCCCTCATCCTCCTCCGCCTCCTCTTCCTCCGTCTCCTCCTCCTCCTGGTCCTCCTCCTCCTCCTCCTCCTCCTCCTTCTCTTCCTCCTTTCCCTTCGCCCTTTTCCCTGCTCTCCCTTTCCCTGGCGGGGGGCGGCCGCGCGCCGCACCGTGGTCAGCGCCATCTGGTCGACAGCAGCCTCCTTTACCTCCTCCCCCTCCCCCTCCCCCTAGGAAAGCAGCATTAGTTGCGATGCTATGCTATGATATGCCATGCTATGCTGCGTTATGTTATGCTATGCTATGCTGTGCTGTGCTATGCTATGATATGCTGCGCTATGATATGCTATGCTATGTTATGCTGTGCTGTGCTGTGCTGTGCTATGCTATGCTGTGCTGTGCTGTGTTGTGCTGTGCTGTGCTGTGCTATGATATGCTATGCCATGCTATGGAGGAGGATGGACAAGGAGGCTGACCACGTTGTGTTTCCTCTGGAGGCGACTCAACGTTTAAAACGTGTTGACCAACCATTTCTGCAACGTAACGTGACTAACTGTGGAAGGGGTGGCATGAAACTGCACAATGCTTTACGTGGCCTTGCAAGTCCTCGTCGCTGTATGTCCATGCGAATCGGTGGTTAATCCATAGCTGCAGCTCGCAAGCGTGCTGAAATAAATGGAATTTCGGAGAAAGCTTCCAAAATCTCAAAGACGCGTTCAATGCTTCTCGAGACAATGTTTTGTAGATGGCCAAAAAATGTGTGCAACAAGTCTCGATCCTCGATTTTGCTGAATCCGACATGAAACGAGGCTCTGCTTTTATGATTCTGTAATACTCCGCAAGCAACTGGGCACACGCCAAACGTCGGTTATCATGCGTCGATCCTGAATTATGCTTAGCAGCAAACTCCGCTAACCACTGGACGAGGTGTCGGTTCGAAGCTGCCTTGCCTTTGAATTTAGGCCAATCGTTAGTTGACCTCAATCGTTCCATCGTGATGGCCCCTCTGATGCGGTACATGTTTGGATGGCTCTTGTACCAAGCGTCCAGTTCATTTCGTAAGTTCTCGAGCTGCTTGGCTTGATTTGGCCCCAGTGCACCTGATGCCATTACCTCCAGAATGATATTTCCAATCAGATGCGAGCTCACCCCCAAATCTATTGCATGGAGTATGTCAATTACAACTCCCTCTAAGCGAAGCGTGCGAATTCTGAACAGCCCTGGTGGCTGCTTACCCTCGGCCAAAAGTTGTTCCATATATGTTTGATGAGTCCGAACTGTCAATCTCCATGCGGCATCGGGCCCTGACTGGGCCCATACCAAGGGGCCAGAAGGGGATGCCCCGCACAACCAGCACATGTTTGGCTCCTGCGTGGACGTCGGGAACCCTAGAACTTGGTTGTAAAACTCCCAATCGCCGCGAATCTGAACTGCCGCAGCGAGCCAACCGCCGAGCAGCTCTCGTCCTCCGTCTCTTAGAGGCCTGCCGAGCCAATCGTAATTTGGCATTGTTCCATCCGTCAAAGCATTCATTGCCCATGCGAGCCTGTCCCATAGCGCCTCAAGGGTTCCCTTGACGATGTTGCCTTTCTTGATGACTGTGAAGATGAGCCTCGATTTCTTGGTTGCTGCACTCGGCCTGCAATGAAGGCTGTTGATCGAAATCGTAAATAGCCCATCAGTTTTGTTGGTCGGAGCACCATCGCCATGAATACCCAACCCAATCGTATTACCAGGATTTGTGATATAGTCTCTGATGCCACCGAAAAGCTGCGTATCGTGAATACCTCGCCAAAAATCTCCAATGTCTTCTTTGGGGCCAACGATGTAATCGTAGAATCTGTTTCTGTCCTTGTTCAAAAGAGCCTCAAGTGTATCAATGGGGCAAATTATTGGGCGCTGCTGCTTGGTGTTTCCTGGGCCAGGGATGTCAATCCAGCGAATCCGCGGGGCCTTGTCAGGCGCCCCGACAGCATTGGTCACGGAACGATGTGCGTTAGTCGGACAAAGGCCCGACCCCAAATTGCCGACACCTCGAGCTCCTTGGGCGGACGCTGCCTCGGACAACTCTAGAACGTCCTCGGCGCTGATGCGCCCAGATGACCATTTCTTCGTGACAAGATCTTTGAACGGCCTTGGCTGCTGCGCATCAATATCACGTTGGCTCGCCAATCTCTGACGAACACCTCTGCCTGAAGCCTCGTCTGGCCTCTGGGCTTCCACTGCCTCAGCTGCCAACCTCTGACGAATGCCCCCCTGGCCGCTGGCACTGGGGGCTCCGCCCGAGACCGCCAAGCTGGGTGAACCAGAAGCGCCGCGCGCAACGTCAAGACCCAAACGGTGCTTGACGCCACCTCTGCGCCCCGAACTCATGAAACTCTCGAACCAAGAAACGCCTACATACAGGCTGGGGTTCTCGATGGGGATGGGCGCATGGAGGACGCTGGCAGAGAGCGATCACGGCCATGGTCACATCAATGGCCCAATCAGGTTTGCCTCAGAGACCCTCAGGGTTCTTACTACATCTTGTAGGTCCCACCCGATAAGGCCCAACCTGATTGGGCCCCACCCACAAGGGCCCCGTCGCATAGAATCCCATCTGATAAGGTCCCCATAGGGCCCCAACCCACGGGGTCACACTACTCAGGGTCCCACCCGGCAGGGTCACGCCCGATAGGGTCCCAGCCATAGGCCATGGCATATTGGTAGGCAGCACCCTAGACACTCGCTAGGCTTTCTAGGCCAGAAACCAGCGTCAATGCTTTATGACATGTTGACCGATTTGGGGCTGCTCAGAGGCTCTTAAGGTCCTCTAGGGTGGGGCCCCGTTCTCGGATCGCACCTGAAATGCACATACACATGCATACACATGCATACACATACATACATACCTACCTACATACATACATACATACATACACACATACATACATACATACATACATACATAGAAC